CAGACTTGTGACGAAGCGGAGAGAGCACCAACCACTGTCAACGAAACGAGTCACCTTTTGATTATATAGGGTGATATCCCCCGGTGAGGTGAGCAAGAGTGTTACCCTTTGACCCGAACCCTTTCTACCAATGAGCGTTCGATGGGCGGAGCTTGTCAGGGAGTAGTTGTGTTTTTCACGCCGCGACGCTCGATAGCGCCAGAAATTATCATTTTTTTGCGAATTTACAGACAAATTATTACAAACGTATGACAAAATTGGATAAATAAGAGTCTGATAGTCAAGTGGATTGCTTTTTTGGTGAGTGTAGTGTGCGAGTTTATTCACAAACCAGCCGTATTCGTTTGGTGTACAGCGATTCCAAGTGCGGACGTTTCATACCCTGTCTTTATTTCTATACTAGTATATAACCCTAAACAAGCCTATCTCCCTTAACCATAAATCCTGTTGCAAGCGCCCGTGATAGCAATGGTCACGCACCACCCTGTGGTCATTGCTGTCGAATGATGGAAGAAATTGAGGAGCTCCCTCTACTCCGATGGGCCATATACTGTAAAATATTTTATTTTAGCTGGAATTAATTATCGGTGAATAGACTTTTTTGATGTTTTGTATGAAAATTATTTTCACAAATTTTTTGAGTTGAATGTAAAAAAAGGTACTTTCGCCGTATTTCTCTCTAGTACTATTGCTCAAAATGGCGCTTAACATTTTTAATAACTTTTAATAGTGATAAGTTACCTAATTAGTATGCATTTCGAGAAATTACAGTGTGTACATGTGCAGTTTGAAATGGAACAATTTTGAACATGATAAAATCAAGCATAGAACTCACTGCTGCAAAAAAACTAGTAGCGCTGAACTGGTTGTCAGTTGACTTGTTTTCTAATAGACACAATTTTAGGGTCTGTATATTTATGTAATGTTTCTAAGTTTCGTTGTAGATTATTTTATAAAGAAATCGCTAAATTGATTTCATCTATTCGTTAAAAGAGACATTGTTGCTTCGACAATAACCTGCGTCTGACTTCGGAATGCTCCATTCAAATCGTTTTTCAGTACCTCGAATACAGCGCATCTGTTCGTTTGGCAGTAACAAATTTTCGAGGTTGACACGTTTTGTGTTCTACAGTACAAACCACTCATAGTGCATGATGTTTTGTGCAGACTGGATAAATAAATTGCAATAACTGTCAGTTCAGCTATAGTAGAAGTAGAGTCATGTCTGCAATTCTGCGTGTTGTGTATTTTCACTGAATAAAATTATAGAAATGCAGTAGTCAACATCTTTTTGATGTTAAATTTGTCATCTCTATTCAAACTTATGTTGCATATTTTTTACATGTCACTGGAACACATCAAATCAACTCATCAAAATTTATTGAATACAAGGTATTGCATAATATGAATACATTTTTGTTTAATTCATCGATAGGTTCACAGGATGTTGCAGCAGATTACGACTTGCTAGTAGAGAATAAAGTAACGCATATTCTGAATGTGGCTTCATTAGTTGATAACCATTTTGAAGATGATTTTATTTACTTGAAATTAGAAATACTAGACATACCAGAAACTGATATTACAAGGTTGGTATATTATCGCCTTCACAAGCAGCGGTTCCTTGAGGAATTTTGTAGTGGGCAGTACATGGAGTGGTAATAAAAGTTAACTTTTTCTTTTAAAATTTCTGCAGATATTTTGATCAATGTTTCAAGTTCATTGATGAAGCAAAAAGTAGCAACGGTGTGGTGCTTGTCCACTGTAATGCCGGTGTATCAAGATCAGCCAGCATCATAATAGGCTATCTGATGCATACAGAAAATATCTCACTTGAGGATTGTTTGGAAACTCTGAAAGAAATTAGACCAGGCATTCGGCCAAATGCTGGATTCATGTCACAACTTCAAGGATATGAAATTATGAATAAAAAGTGGTGAAGAGATACAGTTGACAAATTAATATTCTTGTTTTTTTATCACAAGTTTCTTATGTGGATTTAGGGCTCATATTGAATAGATTTGCTTCAAACTTGACATGAAAGGGGAACCTGCTGACTATATATACTGTACTCGACCACGTAAGCGCCCAGAGGCGTCAACTCAGGGGTGGGCGCTTACCCGAGCACCCTCCTCGAAAATAAGTGCAAATGAAAATTTTGATTCATCATGTGACAGGTTACGTCTTTGAGGGATAATCAAATTACAAAATTAGTTGCGTCGTCATTGATTTTTACAATGAAGAAACAGAAATTATCACAAAAAATATGCACATTTTATTACAATATTAATTACGTACCACAAGAATTTACAAAATTAAAAACATTAAAAACTCACGATGAAAATCACTTTCCGCCATGATGCATTTGCATGTATGTACATTTAAAAAAAACATGAATTCATTCATAATACAATGATGACCAGCCAGTGTAGTGTGGAAATATATTTTTTTTTACTAGAAGATTTGAGTCTATCTGTGAAACAAAAAAAATATTTTCTGGAGATCTGTACAATGCCTCTGATTAATTATGTAAAATACACAGACAAAAAAAAAATTCATTTCATTTTGACATAACTTGCTATGCTCTAAAATGTATGATTTGTTTGTCAATAAATATTATGATATTGATGGTCTTTTCTTAGCTGGTGTTCTACGGATTAGGTCAATAAAACAGAAAAAGTGTCTTGATACCTTGCGTAATAATGTATTAAATAAACCAAAGTTGCGTAATTTGAAGAATTATAGATCAGAGAAATACATGTTTCTGGATCCAGGTCAGAAAGATCACTCCTAGACTAGCACAAATTAGGTTTGACATGCTATTTTTGAGAATGAAACGAATGCCAGAAATTTATTTATCAATAGGAAGATTGCACATACAATGTATCTTTTACAAACATTCGACTAACCACTCTTCATCCTAAGTAATGGGTTATGCAAACTGTTGAATGCTATAAATTTTAGAAACGCACAGCAGTTTACTGTTTCTAGAAGCTGTTATTCTTCAAAATTAAATTTGTAGGTAAAAGTCCATCTCTGTGTGGTCTGTTTTGTTTCACATCTCTGGAAGTGTGGGGATATTTCTCTGACTTGAAGGTCCAAGCATAGACCTGTGGGTATATGGATAAGACGATGCAGTACCTGTAAATATATAGATGGGAATGGGTGAGATAACACAAGTACAGTTGTCTGGGATAGAACAAACTTTATACAAATATTCACACTACCAGTATCATAAAATCTGCATTAGGAGCCGCATGTCTAATAGAAGTTGCACTCATTCTTTTTGAATTGAGAACCATTTCTTATATGTGTGGATGCTCTAATCCCCTCTGTTGCATTGTACCATATTAATAGAAACAGATTTTACAGTAATAGTTTTAGCGACCCGAAAAACTCATTGTCAACCAGGGACACAAAAACTGTATGTCCACCACTGTTAACACTGTTGATATTTCTTGAAACAGAAATTGTGGCATTCAATTGTACATTGAAATATCCCAAGACATCCTTGTACAGCTGGATGCTTGTATGCATACAAATCTAAATAGTTTTTCATGTTGGGCCCGTAAAACTGAATGAGTTTTTATAACCAGGTATTCTTCCTCACAAACTGTTCATTATTTTGCTAAATATCAAAAGCAGTATCACCGTACATGCACATTATGAATACACATCTCACCTGTGGCAGAAACTAGTTTACCACATCACCTACCAGATAGTCAGTGGAAATAATAAATTCCATTTATTACTTATTAGGCTTAACTACAGATTACAGCACCGATCAGAAGCTATTAGGGAATATACCCTGTTCACCTTAGGGTAGCATTCCCTATAGAAAAAAGTCCTCTCCTAAAAAGTCACCCTCGATGCTCACGCTTGTGAGGCCTGATCTGATCATTCTCTCTTGTTTCCACGACCAACGAGTACAGATATTTTTCAGCTCCGTTGCGACGCACGGACAAGAGTGCAGGTTACAGTATTATGACTGAGATTATCTAGGAATCCAGTGTCGGTGATTGACTCCATTACGCCAAAGGCTTTCCATTATTACGGGCCCCATTTTTTCCTGTGTTAGTTGAATCGCCGGCTCGAGGTTCCAGGGTCGATGATTGAGACATGACCTTCAGAACCGTTTACCGTTGAGGTAACAGATGTCAGTTGATAGCGTGGGAACACCGGCAGTGGATCTAAATTCTCGCAACGTGGAGTTAGTTTCCCCACTGGATAATACTGAGGCTAACTAACACCGTTCAACCGCTTTTGCTGGGAGATCAGAGTTTCCAGTCACCACGGTGACCGATGTTGATAAACAGAGTTCCAAGGTGGAATCGGCTTGTCCTTTAGAGACTGAACCGGTTCAATCCATCGAGACTTTACCGGTATGACGCACCCTGAGTGGCTTGCGCAATCACAGGGACAGACCCTGTTGCCTTCCTTCCTAAATGGCATCGACAGTCTGGATGATGGCTTCAAAAGTCAACTCATTTCTGCAGTCTCAGGGTAGGACGCAGAAGCCCCTGGGGGTTGGTAAGTCAGGTGGTGGGGCATGGGCTGAGATACTGCCTGTACCTCCATCGCCAGGGCTAGGGTCAGGTGTGTCCCATTCTCCCAGTGATCTCTCCTTTAGAGGGTCAGTGGGGGGACAACTCACACCAGAGGGAATGGAGCGTCCACTTCTTTTATAAAGGGGGCCCTCCTCTGGAATGGATCGCATTATGCGTCCTCTTCTGTATTCCCCACACCCCCCTCAGACTCGAGCTGACCAGGCATTGTTTCCTGTGTCTTTCCAGGCCGTGTAGAGTGCCCCCACTTATGACTCTGCGAGGGGAGGGGACTCCAGTGTTGGTGCCCCTGTACAGGGTGGTATGCAACCCTCTTATGAGGTGCAGCTACCACTTCCCCAACAGGAGGGGGGCGAGCGCTTTGTCGTTTCTCGTCCCCACTTTGTCGGGGCAGTAACAGAATACCCAACCAACCGAAGCCCAGCTATCCCTTACTAATATGCAGTTAAGGTTGCAGCCTTTGAACCGGACAGTGACGGCCGCAAGACTCTTGTTTTGGACCCGTTTTCATTGGCACTCTCCTCTCCCACTGTCGGTGTGGAGACCACGCCTGCTGGCCAACTCCCCTGGGCCCCTCGTGTGACCCAGGCTATGAAGGGGGCTCAGAGGGCGATGGGGGGATTGGTACTCTTCGGGAGAAAAAGAAAAACAGCTTGAACCTGGTTTTGGAGCGGTCATGTCCAATGCCTTCTGTTGGGTGAATCGATACCCCTTGGGGATACGCTAACCGTTGACAGCCTTCTCCATGGGTTCCCCGCCCTGATCCCAGTGCCCATACATAAGCCGGGTAGTGCGGATCCGGAAGGCCACGTTGCGTGGTAATTGGACCAGCACCAGAGCCTCCTAGTGCATAGGGCTTTATGGGCCGAACTTAGACCCATCAATTTTATAGAATTGGTTTCTTTAGCGTGAGAGCGTAAGCTCACCTTGCTAAGTTCTAACCGTCTGAGTGCTCAGCAACGATCCTCACTCCTTGGGCTGATGGGCAAGTTCCTGGCAGCGCAGAGAGTCGCTATGTGCGATATCTTGCTAATCCATACTGCCCTCTTGGCAGGGGCGGTTTCGGCTGACCGTGAGGCAGTTCTGGGTCTGTGCACCTATCCTACTCCAGCGGGAGACGAGTTTGATCACCTGCGGAGAAGGCCTTGGGGGCGTGACCAGCTATTTGGTAGCCGGTTAGTGGATGCGGTGAACGGTTTGGCGGTTGAGGAAGATCAGCAGATCCAATTGAAGCAATTGTCCCTGTTGGCCAAGGTAGCTAGTCCTTCTGCTCAACGGTTCAAACCAAAACCGCAAGGCAGCCAAGGCAGTAAGTCCGCCACTTTGGAGCCACAACCAGCGAGGATCAAAGCTTCAGAGAAAGCCCAAGAAACGTGGCATTGGTGTTGGGTGTTCTGACACTTCTGAGGATCAGGGGGCTGCGAAGTTTCTTTGAAGGTTTCCCCAGCTGCTTGGACATGGATGGTGGTGCGACTCCCTCCCTGGAGTCCTCGGCTCAATCTCCCCCTCTTAGTCTCCCACACTGGAGGCTGGAGTTCGGGAAGCACAAGCTTCGAACCCCCATTCGTTCCTTCCCGTGGGATCACGCCTTATGCAGCACATACCAGCTTGGCGCAGGTCAGTTTCCGATCCCTGAACACTCGAAGTAGTGTCGCGTGGGTATCAGATTCCTCTTCGGTCTCCTCCTCCTCTGACTCATCACCTTCCCTCAGGTCTTTTGCCGAGGGACGAGGTCAAGGCGGAGATGATCCAACAGGAAGTAGCAAGCCTTCTGGAGAAAAGGGCGATATGCCTAATTGGGAACCCCCATTTATTGCTAGGGTTCTTTCCCACATCTTCCTCGTTCCCAAGACTTCGTGGGGATGGCATCCAGTCCTAGACCTCACTCGGCTGAACGGGTTTGTGGAACTCAAGTGCTTCCGGATGGAAACACAAGCTTTGGTACTTCTGTCAGTGCACTCGGGCGATTGGCGGGCGTTGCTGGATTTGAGCGACGCTTACCTCCACATTCCTATTCACCACTCATGCAGCCGGTATCTCAGATTCCCATTGGAGGGCAAAGTTTACAAGTTTACCGTCCTCCCTTTCGGTCTGTACACGGCACCGTACGTCTTCACCAGTGTGCTAAGACAGGTGACCCAGCTACAACACCGGTCGTCGGTCTATCTGATCCCATATCTCGATGACTGGTTATTACACAACTGAGACAGGGAGGTTTTAGTGGAGCATGTGCAGTTGATGCAGATTCTCCTCCACAAGTTGGGCTTTTTAATAAATATTGTCCAACCCAATACCGTCCCACAGCCTGGTTTTTCTGGGTATGCAGTTCGACACGGAGCAAGGGCTTGTTCACCCTCTCAGGAGCGATGCGACTCTCTTGTAGAGTTCGCCAGCCAACTCCGGTTGGCGCGATCGGTGTCGAGGCACAAACTGATGCAGCCTATTGGCAAATGACTTCAGTTCGTCATCTGGTTCCATTAGCAGCTCTTCGGTCTCATCCGATTCAGAGGTGCTTACTGGACTACAGGATCCACATACAGAACCTGACGTTCAGGGTTCAATCATCAGACCAAGCGATGACAGCCCTCCTTTGGCGGAAGGACGCATGGTACTTGGAAACACCTTGGACCTCGCTGACTCTCATTATAGATGTGTCACCCCAGGGATGGGACGGTCATCTGAGGGACCTTCAGGTCCAAGGGGACGTGGCCGTCCGCATATTTGGACTGCCACATCTATTGGTTGGAGTTGCAGGCCAACCTATTGTCTGACATTTTTCAGGAAGTCGCACACCACCACAGAGTCGTGCTTCACCAGACAACACCTCAGTTATGTTGTACATCAACAAGGAGGGGAGTGACGCGTTCCCCATGCTGTCGGAGGCTGGAGGAGGAGATTTTGGTGCCAGGATAATTAGGTTGAGCTATTGGCTTACCACCTCCCGATGATATGCAAAAGCATTGCGGGCGCCCTCTCAAGACGTATTCGGTTCCAGAACACCAAGTGGCAGACCCCCCAATGGGTGGCAGACTGGCCGTTTTGTCTCTGGGATGGGTTCCAGTTGCCGGATCTTCTGGATCTGTTGTCCCAGCCGGACGGCCTGTTGATGCAGCAGAAATGTTTGTGAAAATGATCGGATCAGGCCTCACGAGCGTGAGCATCCTGAGGGTGACCCCTTAAGAGAGGCCTTTTTTCTATAGGGAATTCTACCCTAAGGTGTTCTTTGTGAACAGGATATATTCCCTAATAGTTTCCGATCGGGGCTGTAATCTGTAGTTAAGCCTAACGAGTAATAAATGGAATTTATTATTTCCACGGACTTTCTGGTAGGTGTGATTAGGTAAACAAACGGGTTTGTACAACATGTTCAGTTCAATAATGGTAGACATTGAAATATGTCTACCTATTATGTACGAATCTGATTGGCTGTCATGATCATGAGGTATACAAATATCTTAGCTCTTATATTTTAGGTGATTTGAAGGACTATACAGCCAAAAAGAATTGTTTTGTTCGAATGATATAGGCTCATTCGTAGCAGGGAGCTGTGATTCTCGTGCGCAATTTTGACATCGTAGACTTGCCTTGTCACTATAGAGGGTGTGTGTTAAATGTCCATAGGGTTTTTAACGCCAGAGGGTGCAATGCACTCGTGTTATACACGTTTCAGTATTTAGAATATAAAATCAACGAATTCAGAGTTGTAGAAATCACATCTGCGAACATTTTATCCCAGTGACTCGATTGATAAAAGACAATAAATCCACCTCTCACTCTTTGGATGGCCACAATACCCTATTTAGGGTCTATGGTTAGAACATGTAGCTATTTGTTATGTGTTTGTATAGCTCCATAGTGAAACGTAGTTGTCATACGTGATAAAACTCAACTACACACACAAAATATTAACATTTAATTTACGTGCGTGAAATTCTATACCGTGGTCCACGTATCGACTTGACATTTCGAAAACACTACCCGGTTGCTAAAATCGTCTTTCATCAAACATTCTTTTCCGATACGCAGTTGATGGTCGCTTGTCAGAGTGAAAATCTGAAAAATTACAATTAATATATTAGGGATATTTAGCCTGGAAACGTTACCACTCTCCCTTATTATGTATAGAAATATTGTTTTATTGTTCGGGAATAGTGCGGAAACTCGAATTTTGTGATCCTTTAATTATTTTTGAATAAACGTTTTAGTGTAGATTATTTAGTAGTTCGATGGCGAACTTTCTTGTGGATTTGTAATAAGTTTGCTCTTTGCCTAGCGTGTATTTAAAGCTGCTCGCGCCCGTTTAGTTTTCTAAACCTGTGAATTCACGATGTTTGAGGTGTGCTGATATTACCTGATCACTCGTAGCAGCACATATATCTACTCTCAGTGGCTTCCCTGACGCACTGTCAAGACAAAGTCCCGTTGCATCATTACGTATCTGTTTCATAAATGAAGCAAAAAAAACATATTACATATGATGAAACCCAAGCTTTGGTAAATCACACGCTTGAAAATGCGGCAGACGGTCTTAGCATGTCGCTATTTACAAACACGCGTCTACCCATGAGCCTTAGCCCTCCGATGCAATATGGACGAATTTCAAACAGATACTCAGGTGTATGCGACATGTACCTTTCATTATAGATTGACAAAAATACTAAAAAATGCATGTTCTCATTCATATTATATTTTTTAGATTAAACATGATAAGATGCTTAAATAATTAAACTTATAATTCTAGTGGTTTCGTATATGACAGGAAGCCGCGTTGTTACTAATACCTGTATCTATTTCAAGGGGAGTCCGGTTCATTATGTGATTAGGCGACTGGGACATGTCGGTATGATATTGTAAAGAGGCAGTCTGTTGGATTTCTTTTCATGTTAGGAATACTATATAATTACTTATTACCAACTAAACGTCGGTTTAGTGATAAACTTAACAGTATTTGTAAAATGCCAGAAAGTATTTATATACAGAATAGTAACAAAAAGGTAATTTGAATCTCATGCACCCACTTGGTGTTTTCATTATTGAACGAGTACTGGTAGGTGAATTGCCAATAAAACGTTTTGTTTTTTTTTATTTGGCGATAGGTCATACCATATTATTTTTATCAAGAGACATTATAAACATAAATTGTTAGGCACGTTAAAAATATCACATCACATTGCCCTATCTGCGCCCTAAGTATGTAACAAAGTGACGTAACTACAGGGAGCATTGTGTTTATAATTTGAGATCTAGAAAGAATTTGTCAGCTTCACTTCACAATCACCGAATGCACATAAAATTAAACCATTGCTGCAGTAGAACCGTCGCGAGACTTTTACTTTTACCCTATTGATCTTATCAATAGGTCATCGTCATCGTATTGCGTGCATGTCTTGAAGTGCATGCGTACCTCTCCGAAGTAATTTGCATCATCCACAGGTAATATCATTTCCGGTATTATGTTTTTCAAATACCAAGTAAAATTGTGACATCCAAGTTTTCTCCTAAGCTCGAGTCTGTCTGACACATCACCGTAATCAACCATATGTAACTAAAAAAAAAAGAAGAAAAATAGGCGATAACACGCGTGTCGTCTGTTGTCATGATATTCATGTAATAATGTAATGAAAAATGCTGACAAATAAAACAAATCGTGGCACCGAATTGTGCGCTCGACAATTCCAATCAGATACACCAACAGGAGTTGAATTACAGTTACTTGAAACCTGACAATCCACATAATTAGATCCGATTATTTATTCAATTCCTGTACTATTGAGTTAGAGTTCCCTTGGAGGCAGTTAGAGTAGACGGTCAGAGCGGGTATTGCAGAGTGAAGATTGAGTGAACGACAGGTCGGTTCAGTACGGTTCACCACTCTGCATTGATGTATAATTAGGCCTCGGAACGTACAACTCTGGGTGTGTGTTATATTATAAATGATGAAAACTACATGCAGTGACTTGTGTAAATATTGTTGAGCTGTTAAAAATATCACCTAAGCGATTCCCAGAAGGTACTCTCAAAGCCAAGCAACATACCCTAAATTCAACTCAGACAGCGTCACTTATTTCCCCGGCCCCTGACGACGAACCACATCCACCAAAACCCAACAGTACATTCATTTCGAATTAGCTATGGATATTGTTGTGAATATGTATAAGTGTATTATACAGTGAGAAACACGAAGCTGGAGCTTTGCTTATAAACGTATGTATTAAAACTTGTAAATATTTAATAGTTTACTCTATACTGCGCGTGCATAACGTGACATAGCAGCTGCGACCGCCTACGTATTCAAAATGAGGCGCTGGCTGATTTGATAATGTTGATCTATCATTAATTTGAACTTAGCGATGATGTAACAATACTGTTTCTCGATTGGTCATTTTGAATTACAAAAACCGTTTTGATTTGTCAAAATTTATATTTACACATTTACAACGACCACAGCTTTATGTATATAAATTTGAATTTAAACGATTAGTTGTGATTCGCCATTAGGGCGCTTTTATGTATGCGCGAGGCAAATACGATACGACGGTCATTTGGATTCATTCGCACTGTGAATTGTTCGAATTGAGATCATTGAGTTACGTAATTAGTTACACTTATGACCACGCCCATCTTTTGGGAACCACGTCCACTTTTTCAAAACTACGCCAAAATTAGAACTTGATGTTCAATTAACAGTCAACCGAACATCGAGTTACGGGCAACCTCGATTTGTGTTGTTGTTAAAACTCCACAAACTCACCAGAGATTAAAGCCAAACGTTGAAATAACCAAGCGTATCGCATGGTAACAAATGAATTGCGGTATGTGGATGTTTAAACAAGAACACAAATCTCGATTGCCCGTAACTACGGTTACGAGCTAACGGTGGAAATATTACTTTTTGGATCGTCTCTATTGTTCAAACAGTACGCTAACCTTAGATAGAGGACTGTTTTTGATCAGCATTTACTGGGAAAGTTCTATTTTTTAGTTCCGAACAATACCCGTTTATTAGTTTCTTTGTTCTCAACAATAACCATTTACTAGGTTAGGACTGTTTTTTTTTTTTTCAGAACTAGCTTGTTAACCAAAGTGAAGAGGACATTCCCTCAATATTGGTGGTGCAAAATGGTGTAATTTTTAGCAGCAACACGATGAATTCGACCTAACGATAGCGACGAACCAAAAAGTATTACTGTGTTCAAAGTTAGAGTTACTAAACATGGACATTAAACAACAAAAACAATCTATGATTCCCGTAACTCGAATGTCGGTTAACTATTAATTAACCATCGTCATAATACTTGGCGTGGTTTTCCAAAAGTGAGCTTTGTTTCGAAAATATGGGCATGGTCATTTTTGTTCGAAGAATTTACCATCTATATGCGTCGAACAAAACACGTGCTCAAATACATTTACACGAAATTCGAAGATGAGCTGCAGCGCTTTAATACTTAATGAATGGTAACACCTTTGTCTGAGTCGCATAAAAGAATTTCTTGTAATGATCCATCCACACTTCAGCAACACGCATGGCATTTCTATATATAGTCGGATCAGAACCATTTGGAAAACTGTACGGAATATATCGGCGATATACGTGACCAATACGAGAACACGGGATGATCTCAATTTTACCACCACACATCCAAATCTGAAGGTGAATGAAATAAAATGACCTTTAAAATACGATGGTGTACCATTCTCTCGGCGTAAATGCCTGTAATTAAATGTGATAACCATGATTCTATAAACTAAATAATTGGTGGTGTGATAGACTCTGGGGTTTAATGACACACATCTACCGTTGTTTCTTACCCGAAATGACATTTCTATGTTTTCTCCTCCCCATACGTCCATGCCAGTGTCATACGCCCCCATCTTCTCGAAATATGTCTTGTTAATTGAGAACAAACCACCTGCCATTGTAGGCGTCCTGTGAAACTTTGTAAGTTATTTTGTAATTAGTGTACAGTGTTAAATAATTAATTAATTAATGATTATTTAATAACATACTGATGAGTGGTTTGTTGAACAATTTAATAATCATTTGAATAAAACAATGTATGAACCATATTACAGTAAAAGTACTAGTATGTACGACAGTTACTGGTTTATCCCATGCCGTATTGTAGATATTAAGGATACACCAAAATATTAGTGGAATTAGTGTAATCATTTCTTTGTCTCATAAAACAGGAAGTTGAGATTGATGTTTACATGTGTAAGGATTATAATGCAAGAAGAAATAAAACAAACATGGTAACACCAATGTCACCTGCCTGATATTATCATATTCGGACACCCTTCTGTTCTGTTCATATTCCGGTATTCTGACCCATTGGTGTTGTAGTTGCCACGTGAAACCACCGCTATTACTCTCTGAGGCACCGATATATGCAAATGATCTATCGTCAATAATGTCAATGATTGGTTCTACGACGACAGTGTCATCTTTGGCGATTCTCTGAAGCATTGGCTCCAACCAACCTGATGGAGATAATTTTCTCTCTGAATAATCCTGTCTGTTTTTAATAATGGATTTTTTGGTTTCAAAACTTTCTCGAAAACTGGTCGCCGTCCATCCATGCAATATATGCCCTCTCAGTAGGTTCTCACGTAGTGTCTTTATGCCGACAATTTCAAAAATATACCAAAAAGCAAGCCATTAACACAGTAAACTTTATGTCATATACGTCAGTCAGCGAGAATATAAATGTACAAACACAAATATGTTTCGAAGCATACCTGTATTACACTCACAGTGAGAATCCAGAAATGTTAACACTTCTCCCTTGGCAAAATGCGCCCCGATAAGCCTTGCTCTAATGAGTCCCTCTCGGCGACTGGTTCGTATGATGCGAACATTAGTAAATGATTTGAAATAATCATCGAGGTCAGTTTTCAGGTAATCTGTGAAAAAATAAGACGTCAAAATTACGCAATTGAGTGCAACACACGCTATCAAATTGACAAGTATGATTGTTGTGTAGTCATTATCCAATTAGAATATAATAAACAACTTTCTTTTGTTGACAAACAACTACAGGCTATAGATGCAGTCAAAATGCTACGGCATCGTCAATGATATGGTGTCTGACGTGAACCTAACTCACATTAGGAATTATACCACATACCCAAATCACTGTGGTCGTCCACTAGGAGAACTTCTAGTATTAAGGTAAATGGCGCCCTGTCGAGACATGTGTGAACAGTTCTTAACAAAGTTGACCACGCTTCATTATGGAAACAAATGATGATGCTCGTCTTGGGTAAATCATGCGAGTACGTTTTATTAGCACATCTGCAAACAAAAAAAAACCGATTAAACTCCTGGAATTGTGTTCAAATTACACTCTTCGGACAATATAAAATACTCGAGTCGTGCCAAGTGTCAGCCTTACTTAAGTATTAAAGTGTTCATTTCCATACAACTAAAAGTTGCGGATTTCTGTTCTAGCAGGGTCCGAAGTGAACGTCATCGTGTAAAGATGCATTTTTTCACCTAATCAACGAACTGTTCATATGCTATATGAAATGCTGAATCTATATTAACATATTTGTTATGACATTTAAGGTCGCTGTGTCTTCTGCCATTCACCGCGTGGTTTTGGCAGCCATTAACACAGCTCAGCTAATGATAGAATCCTACGTCGGCTACAGTTCACTGTCTGTGCTTCTGGAATATGTTTGTGCACCCCAAGCTCATTAATGAAGACCAGATATTGAACATATACTTAGATCATATACGTGCAGTACTGTGGAACAGTGTTACATTACAATGTACAGAGAAATGCCAGCAAAGTTGAAAAGCTCAGAGACATTTTCAGATTAAAGCTCTAACTATTTAACACTAATTAAAGATGCAACGTAGACCTAAAACCTACACTTAGTCCGCATGTACTCTGATTGTTATTGTACGTACCAAAAACAATTACTGCACACGTGTATGAACTTTCACATATTTTCACTGTTTCATGGATGACTTGGATGTGAGCTTCATGAATCTCGTTTAAGTTTGTGATAAATCATAATCAGATGTGTTCGTCAACATATATTAGGTTGTGAAACGCGTTTTTTTTTTTTTCAGATTCCTACAAATCAAGAAAAAATACTAATCTTTCACAGCCAAACCGGAAAATCTCTTGCATACGAACACCTAATTACACGAAGAATATAGAACACTTTCCCAGTTGTTTTTGAAACCAAAATCGTCATTCAACCCAGGAGCCAATCAACGACGATCTCACAGTGCTTGTATTGTACTTATCATAACAATTACTACACACGTGCATTATATACTTTAATTGTTCCATCGAACGAATACTTGGATGTGAGCTTCACAGACAGTGGTTTTTAGTTCGTGGTCAATCATAATCCAATGTATTCATCAACATTATAACAAACAGCAATATTTTCATTTATATTGCATCTTTAAAAGAGGTAACTCTATTCTACTATAGCTCATACAACGTGCTAGATTCAACTTATAATATTCATAATCTCGCGTCATTTCCTCTTTGGTTGGCGTCAGCAGACGCTAGTGATTACCGCAAGAGTGTCATATCAATCCGAGCCGTAGGCGAGGATTTGGTATTCACACAATCACGTACTCTAGTTTTCCTTCTTGTTATATTTAATGTTCACATTTTTGTTTTTAATATCTGGACGTCTGCTTCATTGTAATATTTCCCATTGTAGTAATTCTCATCTATATATCTATATCAGTATTTTCGAGTGATCTTAAACGCATTTTCTTTTTGTGGAGCAGGATTATATCAACCTTGGGGGACTGGTCAGCTTTAAGGGGGAATTACGGAAGTAGTCTATTCAGAAATCAAAAATAGGCATATCTTTGTGCAAATTATTCAGAGAGATCATATCAGAATACACTGCGGCAAATGTATTGATTATGTTACTTGATGTTTACAAAGTAAGTTAACGAGTCGTCTAGAAGACATTACATGTATTATATAAAGTGGGTTAGTTTTGCAAGCTGTGATACATTTGGCACGTGTATGTATTCCCATAAGCAACATGTGCTGATGTGACACCGCTGTTTAATTCGAGGAAAAACATGAATGTTAAAGATATAGATGAGAACATGAAATTTGTAATTCTTGTTTGATACTGTATATTGATTGAATCTTTGAATTATGGTTTATAATGACATGAACACGCCGAACACTTCTGATTATTCGTTATATGAAACAATGTAATTTTCTAATACGGATGGACACTGGTTGTTTTCATATACGTACTGTATGCACACGCAACATGTTTAGTTTGTGGTAAATCGGATTTGGTCTACGGTATTGTGTGCCGAACAACAATATTTAAAAATAAGATATGTAGTAGATAATATTTGGTAATTGTTTCTCTAAGCAACTATTCAAAATGGCTAGACGTTTCTAACACTGGCTCTTTATCGATAGCATATAAGAAAATATAGATGATTTACCACATATCTAACAATACATTTTAATTGAATTAGGAAAGTGCTATATATAATTTGATTACAAATGAAAATAGATATGTATGAAGAATAAACAAATCAGACATGTAGTTATAAAATGCCAGACCGATATGATAAACAAAAATACAAGGTAAATAAGAAAGCTATATACTAGTAATTTACTTGTTTTGAAAATGGCCTTTTTGACCAAAATACATATTATTTGTTGAAATAGAAAGTTTCAGATAGTATCATAATATGAAACAAATAATGGGGGGGTAGCCAACCAAATGTCAAAGAAGTCGATACAGTCGATAATTTTTATTTTACCACAAATGAGAATTGAAGCAATAGCCAAAAATGAGTTAATTTGATTTCAGTCAGTGTATAAATAACAGCAGCGCCATTGAAACTGTTAAAAATAAAAACGACGACGACGCATTGCACTCTCATATTGAGCATGTTTTTTAATATTGACGCAGAAAAATAGTCAAAAATATCATGTCCACAATAAACAAACAAATTTAAAATGTTAGAAAATTTGCAAAATATAGAAACAATCTGAGAGAGAATTACCAAAATATTCTGACTAACGGCTTTGAAGGAGTGAGCAACATCGTTTTTCCTGAGTGTACGTGTGTGTGTGTGGGGGGGGGGAAGTTGTTAATACACTGGTCTAATACTTACCCTGTATGCCTAGTATCAGGTATGTGTCGGGTTAGTGACAGTTTATCACTTGCAGTAACATTAAAATAGTGCAATTGGAATGGGGAGTTTTCGCTCGAGTATTCCGAATATAAATAAGATGGCTCTGAATCTATTTGTTTGTTTGACTCATTGTCCGAATCGTTGCGAGTATCATCCACCGACTCTCTATCTGCGTACTGCGAATCCCTATTAAGCATGTTTGTGCGCCGAAAATTCACGTCTTTGGCTTCACCAACCCGCCTGCATCCATCCATGGTTAGTGGCGATTCCTCTTCGCCACGCATGTTTACTGTTCCACTCTCGGAAGCAACACGCTGCTTCGTCTTGCAAAATAGTTGAATGTTGAGAAATGTCCCCACTGACCATATAATGATGAAAGAAATAATTACACGCGCCATCTTATTGGTGCTCATCGTTTTGCGTCCGCACGTAGGCTGCGTTGAATCAAGTTGTGTAAACCTTGAAATCATTCAATCACACGGAGATTTAATAGTTTCCGGTATATACAATGCAAGTCTCGGTGCGTTACTAAGCTAACACAGCGAGCACTCCTTTCAAAGATAACTAAATCAGTCTTTTTAGCAATATCTCGATCTACTAGATCGTGATATATCCAGTCCGACACCCCCTCGTACGTCACAAGTGACCTACCCCGTGACCCACTTGCACCCTAGGCGGGCTTGATACATCTGATTACATCTGGTGGGGTCTCATTTCTCTTTGGGATTTTAAAATATAATACCTTAGGATTATCCTGTGGATTACTTCTTTGGCTACAAAGTAGGATCGATTTGTAGATGGTTTTATGTTTCATTTTAACGGAAGGGGGATATTTCCGTCCAGCCATCCGTTCCTTTTTCCATTTGTTATACGTTTCAGATGTGTGCATTCCTCATTTCGTCGAAATTTTGAAATTACTAGCAAGGAATTGATTGGATTTTTCAGTTTGATTAGATTTTTGCTCAATAAAAATGCTTACACGTAAGCTTGTTCATGCCCGACGTATTTATCGCACTATCACTGAGTTAGTATGTTCCCATCCCCCGTGTGAGGGGGAGGATGTTATTTGATATATTGCCTGATTACATTTAATTTCAGCAAGATAGGTTTTCAGTGCTATTCGAACCAGGTCCTGCTGAATAATGTATTCGAAAATCTGTTTCTTGTCAGTCCTCGAAAATAGTAAGAATTGTGTAAAACACAGATTGAACCTATTTTACCTCAAGTGATACAGCTAAATATCAATAAATACATATACACAACTTAATTATAAGGGAGATGCATTTTATATCGCAGCTGATTGATATCAAAACACAGATGATAGCTGAATATCAAAATATAGAGAGTGAGAGAATATCAATATATAGAGAGTAGGTGAATATCAATATATAGAGAGTAGGTGAATACCTATATATAGAGAGTAGGTGAATATCAATATATAGAGAGTAGATGAATATCAATATATAGAGAGTAGGTGAATATCAATATATAGAGAGTAGGTGAATACCTATATATAGAGAGTAGATGAATACCTATATATAGAGAGTAGATGAATATCAATATATAGAGAGTAGGTGAATATCAATATATAGAGAGTAGGTGAATACCTATATATAGAGAGTAGATGAATACCTATATATAGAGAGTAGATGAATATCAATATATAGAGAGTAGGTGAATATCAGTATATAGAGAGTAGATGAATATCAATATATAGAGAGTAGGTGAATATCAATATATAGAGAGTAGATGAATACCTATATATAGAGAGTAGATGAATACCTATATATAGAGAGTAGATGAATATCAATATATAGAGTGTAGGTGAATACCTATATATGGAGTAGGTGAATATCAATATTTAGAGTGTAGCTGAATATCAATATATAGAGAGTAGGTGAATACCTGCATATAGAATGTACATGAATATCAATTTATAGTGAGTAGGTGAATATCAATATATAGAAAGTAGGTGAATATCAATATATAGCGAGTAGGTGAATATCAATATAGAGAGAGTAGGTGAATATCAATATATAGAAAGTAGGTGAATATCAATATATAGAGAGTAGGTGAATATCAATATATAGAAAGCAGGTGAATATCAGTATATAGCGAGTAGGTGGGTATCAATATATAGAGAGTAGGGGAATATCAATATATAGAAAGTAGGTGAATAACAATATATAGAGAGTAGGTGAGTATCAATATATAGAAAGTAGGTGAATAACAATATATAGAGAGTAGGTGAGTATCAATATATAGAAAGTAGGTGAGTATCAATATACAGAGAGTAGGTGAATATCAATATATAGAAAGTAGGTGAATATCAATATATAGTGAGTAGGTGGGTATCAATATATAGAGAGTAGGTGAATATCAATATATAGAAAGTAGGTGAATATCAATATATAGCGAATAGGTGAATATCATATATAGAGAGTAGGTTAATATCAATATATAGAGAGTAAATGAATATCAATATATAGCGTCTATGTGAATACCAATATATAGAGAGTAGCTGAATATCAAATTATAGTGAGTAGGTGAATATCAATATATAGAAAGTAGGCGAATATCAATATATGGAGTGTAGCTGAATATCAATATATAGCGTCTATGTGAATACCAATATATAGAGAGTAGCTGAATATCAAATTATAGTGAGTAGGTGAATACCAATATATAGAGAGTAGCTGAATATCAAATTATAGTGAGTAGGTGAATATCAATATATAGAAAGTAGGTGAATATCAATATATAGAGTGTAGCTGAATATCTATATATAGAGAGTACATGAATATCAATGTATAGAGAGTAGCTGAATATCAAATTAAACAGAGTAGGTGAATATCAATATATAGAAAGCAGGTGAAAATCAATATATAGCGAGTAGGTGAATATCAATATAAAGCCTCTATGTGAATACCTATATATAGAGAGTAAATGAATATCAATATATAGCGTCTATGTGAATACCAATATATAGAGAGTAGCTGAATATCAAATTATAGTGAGTAGGTGAATATCAATATATATAGAGTAT